ACTAGGCATGGTGACACAAGCCTGTAATCCCAATAGCACCGGAGGCTGAAGAATCACAAGTTCAAAGCCAGCCTAACTAATCAAAGCATTAAGCAATTTAGCTAGACCCTGTCTCAAAATAAAAAAAATAAAAAAGGACTGCAGATGTGGCTCAGTGATTAAGCACTCCTGGTTTTAATCCCTAATACAAAACCAAACTAAACCAAACCAAACTAACCAACCAACCAACCAAACAAAAAAACCATATAAGCCAGGCAGGTGGCATAGCCTGTATCCTGGTGACTCAGGAGGCTGAGACAGGAGGATGGTGAGTTAAAGGCCAACTTCAACAACCTCTCCCTTGAAATAAAACATAAAAAAGGCTGGGTATGTAGCTCAGTGGCAAAGTGCTCTTGGGATCAATCCCCAGTACCTAAATAAATAAATAAATAAAATTAACAAAATAAATACCACATGAAAAATCTCAGATTTTTACTTGAAAAAACTGTTAAATAACAGGTAATCTGTGTTAGCTTTTTATTGCTGTGATAAAATTGCTGAGAAAAACAACTTAGAGGAGAGATGATTTATTTAGCTCATGGTTTCAGAGGTTTTAGTTCATGGTTGATTGGCTTCTTGATTTGGGCCTGAGACAAGGCAGAACATTATGGCAGAATGAACTGGCAAAAGGAAAGGAACTCACTTCATGGCAGCCAGGAGCACAAAGTGAGTGGGAGAAAGGGGCCTGGGAAAAGAAATACCCTTCCAGGGCATGTCCCCAGTGACCTACTTCTTTTAATGCAGCCCCCTCCTACAATTTCTACCACTTCCCCATAATGCCATCAAAATTTGAATTCATCAATGCATTAATCCATTGAGGTTAGAACCCTCACAATGCAATCACTTCCCAAGAGCCCCATGTTTGAATGTTGCTATACTGGGGAATAGTTGTCAACACCTGAGCCTTTGGAAGACACTCCAGATCCAAACCATAACAAACTCAAATTCGCCATTGTATTTCATTTTCATTGTCTTGTATTCCACTTTCTATGTACTTAAAAAAATCAGTATAATCATGGTCCAAGCATTTGAACTATGATCATCCTTTTTTTGTACTGGGGATTGAACTCAGGGACACTCAACCACTGAGCCACTAAAATTTTGTATTTTATTTAGAGACAGGGTCTCACTGACTTGCTTAGCATTGCTGAGACTGACTTTGAACTTGAGATCCTCCTGTCTCAGCCTTCTGAGCTGGTGGGATTACAGGTATGCCCCACTGCTCCTGGCTATGATCATTCTTTCAATGATATTTAGTTAAGTTTAAATTCTAGGTTGAGAGTTATTTTTCCTCAGTGCTCTGATATAGCTCCCTAATATTTTTCACCATGAAATCAATTTAATGGTCCTTTTTAGTATTAAAAAATAAATACCATTTACCAGAATTAAGCCTGCCTTTCTGCCCTCCTGGGATGGTGGGCTGAAAAACTGAGCCTTTCTTACAGAAGTAGACTCAAGAAAAGAAAGAGAAAATAGGGTAACAAATGAGATTGTATCTCTGATTTTTTTACTTTCTCCTCACTAGCTTTTTAGAGATAGGTCTATCATGTGAACTCTATGTGCATCTACGTATGTGAGCTTTTCTTGTCCAGGAGGAAGTGATGTCAGGAGCTGTCATCATCAATATTAATGCTTTATTTGGGCACAAGTATTTTTTTTTTTTTAATGAAAAAGTGGGTGGGGGCTTTGGTTACAGTCAAGGGAAAAAACATTCATGGATCATGCAGATTGTTTCATTTACTCACCACTAAGGACTTCGATATGAAGAGCCAAGTCTATGAAGTGAAGGATTCCCAAGAGATTTACAATTTGGGTGAGACTCACAAGCATCTATAGGCTGACTAGTTTTTTTGAAGTGTCTAAAAGCAGAATGAAGTCTGTATGTTCTTATATGACTGAGTTTTGATCATCTTTCTTTTATAATAACTTCCATGATCTGGCTGACCTTCTGAATGTAGCCAATACTGCCTGGCTTCACATCTATGATGTGAGCTTTCTTTCTTTTCTTATTTATTTTTATTTTTTATTTTTTTGGTACTGGGGATTGAACTCAGGTACACTCAACCACTGAGCCACATTCCCAGCCCTATTTTGTATTTTATTTAGAGACAGAGTCTCACTGAGTTGCTAAATGCCTGTTGCTAGATCCTACCTCATGCCCACCGCCCCCTGCCCCTCCCCCTCCCCCTCAGCTGCTGGGATTATAGGCATTTTTTAAAAAAACTTGTTTATCTTCTTTTATATCAATGTTTGGAACACAAAATGAAATTTCTTTTTCCTCATTAGGTATTCAAATTTCTGTTAAAAAATGAAATAGAGTAGAAATGTTAAGAGCATATATCTAGTTTTGGAAACTTTTATCTGAATTTATATATATGTGTCTTGGGTCATAGCATAATATTGTAGTGGCACCCCCTCCTCCACAAAAAAATCTTAACTAAGCTTCTCCAGAAATCTTCACCATAATTGATTTTAAGACTATAAACAAAAAAAAAAAGTCTCTACAAAAAAGTTAAATGTAGTTAAATTTTCTGTTTTCCTGTTGCTCTATTTCACTTGGCCACTGGCCAGGAAGAAATCAGCACTCCAGGTGCTGAACGCCCCTTCACTTGTTTTTCACAAACATGTATCCAGTATAGTAGTTTATAGAAATGTGTAAACAAGGCCTCTGGCCTTGAGCTGGAGCTTCACAGAGATGTCTACATTTCTAAGTTAAGAGAAGTTATCAAGTGGGCTCCATGGTAACAGCTGGCAGTGGGAGGAAAGAAAGGGAAGAAGAAGCTCTCCCTTCTCAGGTGTTGTCCTTGAAGGGTTAACTTGTCCAGAACAGTGAAAGAAAAAGCTGTTTTTATGTGAACTTCTTCAGACTGTGAACTTCTGAGCCCTTCCCTTTACATGCTGGGTATAAAATTCTGAAACTACCTGAACTTACGGTTCAGGGGATTAATTGATTACAGCAAAAGCTGTGCCCTCTGAACCTGGCTGTGGCAAAACAAAACAAAACAAAACTGTTTCCTGCTATCTTTGGTGCCATGCCTCATCTGTCCATACAACAATATTTTTTATTGTGAATTGTGTTAAAAAACAACAACAACTGTTGAAAGACATTTGTTAGTATGGTGCTGTGTTTTATGGTTTTATCTCTACAAACACCATGTGTGTGTGTGTGTGTGTGTGTGTTCATTTTCTTCATTGTATTGTCCAGGCTGGCCTTGAATTTCTGGGCTCAAGTACACTAACATTTGGGACTATAGGTGTGCGCCACTGTAACAAGCCTAAAATCAATTTGGTTTTAAATAAATACTGCCTGATTACAGACTATAATTATCAAGGAAACCAGTTTTTAAAAAATAAAAATACAAGGATTAGCATACTTAATCACTTTAAAGATATGAATGATTGCTTCTTCGAAATTGACTTTGAATCACAAATTTTTATACATATCTGTGTTACACTGTGGATAGGTAAAAGACTTAGCAAACTCAATTACTGCTTTTAGTGCTCTTAGTTAAGTCTCTTAAGCTAAGTTTAAATTTCCCTGTAAGAAAATTATATTTAAATTATCTCTCAAAGGTGTGAACATTAAAGAAATCTAACAGTACTTTGAAAACAGTACAGCAGTATCATTTCCTAATTTCTCTCCCATTGTTGTTGAAATGTATTGATATATGGATATTTGCAAGCTTAGTGATTTCCACTGTTAAATTTGACCCATGTAGAAATCAAGAACATATCAAATTATAATAACTTGGATAAAATCATGTTTGGATTAATGACAAATACTAAAGAAAGACTATTATGCCTCTTCCAGATATTATGGAAAGTAATCCAGTTTTGATTTATGAACCATTGAATTCTTGATATAGAATCTGTTGGCTAGGGTAAGCTATCAATAGATATGGAGTTATGGGAGATCTAAGTTTTTCCTTCTAGAGGTAATATATTTTATGGTCTCTAGTAAAGGCAATATTCTCGAAATATTTGTTGATGGCAATGTTTAAAATTTGGTGGAGTAATACTGTTACTACTATGGTTGTGATTCTAAGTGACTTCATGGAGAGAAATGAAAACATGGGTTTTTAAGTGACATTTAAGTGTTCTTTCCATCTTTGAAGAACACTTCTCATAGCCAATTATATCAAAAGAATTTAATGTTCCCATGGAAATGAAAGCTTGCAATAAAGGACCTTTTGAGCCTCTTCCAAAGCAAGTGATGATATCAAACAAAAACAAAAACTATTATGCACACCTTAGAGAAAATGTATACGTGCCTTTAAAAAGTAGGAATATATATGAAAAGGAAGGTCAGAGATAAAAAAACATAAGAAAATAATAAAGAATATATTAGGACAGGAAAATACTGAAAATTATGTGTTTTATTTTGTGAATGTGCGTTTATTTTTAAAATTGTCTTTAAGGGTACAGAGTATCCTTGTTTAACTTGCACCCCCATTGTCTAGCACATTGGTACACAGCTGGCAATCTTCAGATGTTTCCTAAATGAACTGATGGGGGCATAAGTTTAGAAAGGAAAACCTAAGGCACATCTCTCTCAGAAGACAAAGATTTTGAATTTCTCTTTTCAATCCTTATCTGAATGGATATCTCTGATTCACTGACATTTATTAGCTGACCAAGTTCTTCCAAGTTTCAAAGCCCTCTAGAATCACCCTGTGGCGCCACCATCCGGAGCTGCAAGGAATCTCCGGACTTAAAACCACCGCCCCAGGTCCACGTTCTTTACGCTCCTCCGCGTTCGTTTTCGGAGGTCCCCTGAACGCACGCGCTTGTGATGGGACGCTAGCCTACAAGAGACTACAATTCCCAGAAGGCCGTGCCACAAGAAAAAAAAAGTCCCGCTTTTAAGAGGGGGGCGGGAGGAAGGAAAGCTCGCGAGAGAACAAGGTTCAGGCGGCTGCGCGAAGTGAGTGGAGGGGGGTGGAGAGAGTGAGGAGGAAGAGGAGGAGGTGCCGTCCCACAATACCAGGCGGGAGGGCGGGTAGGCGGTTTGTATCCGGGCTGTGAGGTGCTCCGAGCCTCGGCGGACCTTGCTGCCTCTGTCTCTTTAACGTGAGAGGAAGCGATGCGGAGGGGTGGAAAATGGCAGAGCTGCAGATGTTACTAGAGGAGGAGATTCCATCTGGCAAGAGGGCGCTGATAGAGAGTTACCAAAACCTGACCCGGGTGGCGGACTACTGTGAAAACAACTACATACAGGTGAGGAGCGCGGACGAGCGAACAGCGGGCGCTGGCCCGGCCGAGGACCCGCCGCCGGCCGCCCGAGTGACCAGCCCACTGGGCGGGGTGGGGAGCTGCCCTAACCTCAGCCGCTGCCTCAACTCCAGCCCTAGCCCCAGCCCCAGCCCCTGCCCCAGCCCCGCTGGGCAGAGGGCAAGTGGCCGGGCTGAGGGAGCGGCTGCGATACAGGAAGTGGCTGTGGTGATGGAAGCCGACCCGAGGGGTGGGAGAAAATGGGCGAGGGAGCCGGGAACCCGCCAGCGGCGCAGTCCGGCGCCCCCCTGGCGTCCGCCTCCCTGAGGGATTGGCCCCCGGCCGCATCCCGTCCGACGGGCGTGCGTCCCGGAGACCCCAGCTGCCGCCCTCCGCCTCTGCGCCCCGAGACGGTTCTGGGACCCGGAGAGGGGAGAGGAAAGGGCAGGGAGAAGCGGCCGAAGACAGAGGAAAAGCGGGGTGTGTATCCGCCGAGGGTGCGGTGGGGGCGATTATGTCAGTTCAGCCCAGAGGGTGTGTCTTTTATTTATTTATTTTTTTTAAAGAAAATTTGTCATGAGTCACATTACACGGACCTCCCCGAGGAGAGAAGGAAGCGGGTGTGGGGAGTGAGGGAGGGCGTTTGCGAGAAGTTAAATCTTAAAATTCCTTTAATTGAAGGTTAGTGAATCTGCCTGTTGGTCCTTTTGCAAGTCGGGTTTTTCCCCCCTTCTCATCATTTTCACTTCCGCCTTACGATGATGTATTCTTGTTATAAAGCATCAAGTATTCTTAACTATTTGAATAAATGACTTAAATCTTGTGTCTTCCTCCCCAAAGTTCTTGAGCTGTTAGCTTCGTGAGTAACTTAAAATAGAGACATGTCCTCTCCGGCTGCTTATTTTCTGAGGTTTCTCTTTCTGATCAAAGTAAATGTGTAGAATTATGAATCCAAATAGATTTCCAAACATATTTAGTTGTTCTTGGAACCACAACGCAAAACACCTGTTATTGTTACTTTATCAGAAAATTCTTGGAACCTTAACTATGACAGATGCTTGTTTTTATTTTGGTGATTGGAAGTGAATTGTGTGGTAGTTTGATTTGTAGATCTTTATGTAAACTAACAGTTTGCAGTAGAAGCAAATAAAGTAGCAGAGTCCTTTGTGTCATTATAATGGCACCAAAAATTCGTTTTTTAAGGAAAGACCAACCGTGGTTTGAAAGGTTGGAATTATTGCAGTTGAGATCTAAAGTGTTTATAGAAGTGCCTCCCATGTGATTATCATTTTTAAGAACCAGTAGTTTCTGTTGGCGAATGTATTTCCTCTTTATATTTAGAGGAAGATAACTGTTTTCAGAATATTTTGAATATTTTTGTTTCCATATTAGTGACATTGTATCTTCAGTAACACTACTAGGAATTTCTCTTAATGGCTTTTTTCAAGCTTTTACTTTAGGAATTTTACTGATAAGTAAACTTGTTGAATGCTTGCTATGCCTACTGTATTACTTGTTTTTGCAAAGTTTATATTTGGCCTTTTCAATCTTATACAAATGTGGATGTAGTTTGCAAATAGAAGAGTGATCTTTTAGTTTATTGGTATTAGAAATGTGCCATTCTCCATTCAATTTAACTTGAAAAGCCTTGAAGTTGAGGCGAACCTTAATTTGCTGAAAGTTTGTTCTGAAAGTGCAAACATGGGAAGTTAAATTGCATTCATTTTAGAAAAGTCATTTCTTTATAGAAGTCAGCAGATAAGTATTTCATTAAGGGTGGCTCCTTGATTTGCATATTGGGAAATCTGACAAGTATATGGTGTGGTAATGCTGCATGTTGGCAACGGTTGGTAACTATAACATGTTTTAACCTGTCTGTTGACTGTTTATTTTTCAAGTAGTTGTAAGCTGCAGTACTTTTTTCCCACTCACTCAGGCCCCTTTCCTTTTCTCCTCCTGCTGTTAACATGTAACTTAGAAGCACTTTAAAACTTAATTGATAATATCCTTGATTAATAGAAGTTATTTCTCATGTGTCACGAAAAATGTTGACATGGTGCCAAGAATTACTGTCAGTAGCCTCAGACTTTTTTTTGGTGATCCTGGACCTGAATTATTCTGATCTGACTGGGGAGTAAGGAAATTAAATTCACACACAGCAATGATTATTGACTACTTGAATTTAGTATCCTTTAAACTTTGGGCTTTATGATCCATGTCACTAGTTGCTTTCCTAAGGGGCTTGGACAGGGTCAGGTTCAGACAAGCTCAGAAAATGATGTGGATGTTCTTGTGGTATGTGGTGCTGCTGACACTGGTACTATGAATGAGGAACAAATAGTATTAGAAATATCCATTTGGATGTCTACTGAGATCTTTCTATATCCTTTCTGTGATTCTGATTGGGTTGTAAATAAATATAGATAAATATACCTCCTCTTAGAGAAAGTATATAATCACTTATGTTTTGAGAATTAAAAAAAATACTCAGTTAAATTATTGGTTGGATGATTTTTGTCTTGAGAATTCATTTTAATTTTTCTTGTATTTTGAAAGTTCAGTCTTGTTCCATTGATAATTTCTTTGGGTGTAGTATAGTTGAGTCCTTTGAGCAGTTTGAGTCTTTGGGGTTTCATTGACTCTTAATTATTAAATTGTAATACTAATAGCAGAATTTCTCAAAATATTCCACTGTTCTTAAAAAGGAAAGGGATTTAAAGTTATGAGGAAAATAGTATTAAAAGTAGAAGGTTTTTATGTAGACAAGTAGAGAAGTCTTTGCCATTTACATATATTTTTTCAACATATATATTTTTTGGTTGTAGATGGACACACAGTACCTTTATTTTATTATTTATTTTTATGTGGTGCTGAGGATCAAACCCAGTGCCTCACACCTGCAAGGTAAGTACTCCCCCCCACTGAGCTATAACCCCAGCCACCACTTACATCTTTTTTTTTTTTTTTTTTTTTAAGAGAGAGAGAGAGGGAGAGAGAGAATTTTTTATTTTAAACAGAGAGAGAGAGAGGAGAGAGAGAATTTTAATATTTACTTTTTAGTTTTCGGTGGACACAACATGTTTATTTGTATGTGGCGCTGAGGATCAAACCCAGGCCACACGCATGCCAGGCGAGCGCACTACCGCTTGAGCCACATCCCCAGCCCAACACTTACATCTTTTTGATATCAAATTGATTTTTTTCTGTTAGATTATGTCAAGTACAGTTATTCCTTAACCTGAACACATTTAGATAATTCTCTTTGCTCCACTTTAGAGTTCTTACTCCCTTTGCTGTGAAAACTGTTTTGGGGAATAGGAGGGAAAGAAAGCTAAGTGAAGTGGAATAGAAATTGTTTAAGAAAGGCTTCGCAGGATGCAGATTGGGTAAGAACAAAATGTCTTCCATACAGTTTAACTTTTTAATTTAATTTGTCTGACTGGAATTCCACCAACACGAGCATCATCTGGGTTAACAAGTATGTTCTAATCATTAGTCATATTATTACTGTGAGCTAGGTAGTGTTGATTACTTTACTCAACTCACATGACATTTACTTAGTTATGCACATTTAATTTTGGAAAGCAGGTAATTTTTGAGCAGGACCATTTTGGAGTTGGTAAAAGCTTCCCTTTCTGGTATTGTACAGTGTATGTCAGTTTATAAATTGTCACTTATATGTTTCTCCTTTACCCTTTCTTTTTCTGTTTGGAAACTAAGTCTTTTTTGCCCAGCCTGATCTTTGATCTTTTACTGCATATCCTTCTATATACTTTAAATCATTTCTTGATTACTTATAATACAGAATACAAGTAAATGCTTTGTGATTATATTGTACAGGGAATAATGACAAGAAAAAAAATCTGTACATGTTTGGTACAGATATGGGTCCCCCTCCCCTCCAGATTATTTTGGATCAGGGGTTCGTCTACTCCTTGGTGGCTGGACCCATAGATAAGAAAGGCCAACTGTAATTGATACTATTTATTGAGTACCTAATCTGTCACAGCAGATATTTATACTAATCCTTACAAACTCTCCATGATAGGAGTGCTCTCCCACAGAGGAGGAACTTAGAATTTGGAAAAATGCAATACATTTTGTTTGGTCATACAGTTAGTAACTGGCAGACAGGATTTCTGTCTAATTCTGACAGACTCCATAGATTATGCTTTTTTCATGTCACATTGTTTCCAAACAAATGAGTCTAGAACTCAGATTAGTTCAGCAATGTCATGGAGTAAATAGATTCTTGGTCAAGTCTGGCAACCTAACAACTTTAAGTTGCAAATATAAGAAAGTTTGTAGTTTGGAGACTTAGCTGTAAAATCTCCAAATGATGAAAGTGTTGACTGTAGGAATTGAAGGCTAGTTTTTCACTGAGCTCCATGGATTTTTTTCTTTCTATGCATCTCTTTGCTTATTTTTTCCCTATTCTGATTCATTTGTAATTATGGTGAGAAAATTTGTAGAATTAGAAATTAACAAAAGGTGTGTGTGTGTGGGGCTGGGGATGTGGCTCAAGCGGTAGCACGCTCGCCTGGCATGCGTGCGGCCCGGGTTCGATCCTCAGCACCACATACAAACAAAGATGTTGTGTCCTCCAAATACTAAAAAATAAATATTAAAATTCTCTCTCTCTCTCTACCTCTCTCTCACTCTCTCTTTAGAAAAAAAAAAAGTTGTGTGTGTGTATGTGTGTATGTGTATTCATATATACATATATTTGTGTTTGTGTGCACGCGCTAGGGATTGAACGCCAGGGCTATGTGCATGCCAGGCAAGCACTCTACTAACTGAACTATATCCCCAGTCCTTAAAATATTCTTGATAGTTCTGATTTCCATTCACATTGGATTTGAGGAAGGGGGTCAAAATGATTGAGGAGATTAGGACATACAGGCAAGTTAGAATACTTAGGATTGCTCTTTGAAGTTTGAGTAAAGCAGTGAACACCAAAGTCAGAGATGCAATGGGATATGTAAATGAAGTAAACAGGGGTTTAG